AATCACTCGCAGTTTTCCTTTTATGCCCCAACATTTCACAAAGTCAAAAACAAACACCTCGTCTCACAAGTTTTTTATTTATTATCATTTTTAAAAGGCTTTAAGTCTAACTACACTTATTGGAGGGTTGTGTCTCATTCAGGCCCAAATTCAGCACTGACAGAAACGGTTCCTCCAGGAAGTAAATTAAGATGAGCTGAGATGGATGCCTCAGTATTACGACTGAAGCTCAACCATAAAAACAGACACTTCAGGCACGACTTGGACTATGGAGACTCAAAGCCTGAGGTCTGGGACTTCAGCTTCATAAATAATCTTTATATCTAATCAGGCATCAGTTTAAGCCAGGAAATGTAAAACCTTGTAGTAAATTATGTTGCCTCATCTGAATTACCGTAGTCATGGTGGAACTGAATGCACAGTATTGTTGGATACGTATTAAGCCGACTATATGGTATGCATTGAAAGGTAAATAGTATTTTTCAGACTTTAGAAATGTGATATTTCATAAAAGCAAATAGAAAACATAAATAAATGAAAAATAAATACATAAATGGTAAGTACAACTCACATTGATTATATTCCACATCTGAAGTCACTTTCTGTGCTGAGGATCAGAGCATCAATGCTCCTGCCTTCAGCCTCTCCACAACTCACCTGGACCTTGAGACCTTTGACCCCTCTGCTCATGTTGGGGCAGAAGCCCTAATATGGGCTTTCCTCTTTGGTTATGGGCTCCGGGGGGAGGGGGGTCCAGTGACCTACATCTGGCTGAAGGAACGTCGTTTCTGTGGGGTTTTATCGGTTCTTGTCTCATCAGTTCTGTTCACAGCCTTTATGGACAGAATTTGTAGGTGGAGCCAACTCAGCCAAGGTCCTGACCCGTTTTGGTGGGCTCAGGATCGGGCCTCTGCTTTTCACAGATGATTTAGTTCTGTTGCCTTCATCAGGATGTGACGATCCTAACTATGAAGCAGCTAGGATGAGAATTAGCACCTCCAAAAGAACCAGAAGACAGGAGAGCGCCCTCTCTGGGTCGGGGAGGAGTTGTTCATGAAAGAAGGAAAAATGGACAGAAAGTCCATTAGTGGTTTGGTGCTGTTTATATATAAGCGCTGTAGTGGTGTGACATGGTGAACAAAGAGCTGAACCAAATGACAAAACTCTGGATTTACTGGCTTATCTTCACTCCAACCTCATCTGTGACTGAATAAATGAGATCATGGAGACAAATGGCTGAAAGGAGTTTCCTCCTGAGTGTCTGGGCTCTCCATTTTCAGAGAAAAGACTAAATAATGCTGCAGCATCGTAATGATGGAACAGCGACATCATCCAGTGACTCCCTCACCTCGCGCTTTGACCCGGAAACTGGTCCAGTTTGGCTTGGATGTTTAGCAAACTCTGTCCAAACTTGAAAAATGTTCACTGGAACTGGAACTGATCAGCCTTAAAAATACAAATTAAAATGGCCAGGTCAGCTAATGCACCGACTTAAAATCTGTAATGCGAGCTTGCTTTTTGGCTCCAATCAGAAAGAACTGGAAGAAGTCCGGTTCAGTCTGCAGAAGGGTTCAGGGTTTGGGTTCCTGGAGGAGAGAGAGTGCACTATCTGATTTATTGGGAGGAATTGGCAGAGTTGCACCACTCCAAGGGGAGAAATAAGGCAGAGCCCAGAGGCATGAGAGAGTGACGGAGAGGAGAGCAGGGATAGACTGTGTAGCTGCACATCAAGGACCTGGAAAGAAAGGGAATGTGTGTGCATGAAATAAAATGAGTGAGTCTTTTTTCTCCTCCTCTGTGGGAGTGGGTTTGTTTGAGTGGCTAAGTGCAGCTTGGTTATTCATTAGCGGCCTGACATGTTGCGTCCTTGTCTATCAACTTGACTGGCCACAAATTGAACATCAGGGTAAACCCCAGAGGCTCTGTCTGAATCCCAGCAAATTCCCAGTGATTTTAATGTGAGAAGGAGAAGTGCGGAGCAGACGGGGTAGTTTTAGAATTATACACCAATACACGGGGACCACTGCGGTGGAATGTGGAGTTTAATCAGATTTCTCTGCACTGCCACACAGAAAGAATGAGTCTAAACTGTAGCATAACTGTAACTTAAAAAATCCCCACAATAATTATTAAATTTTTATTATGTGACATGATCTGATTGTTGTGAGAAAACAAAATTAAAATCTGCTCCCAGATGGTTTTCAGACTGAAGGATGACGTCACTTGGACAGAAAGAGCTTTCTCACTATTTGAGCCAACAGTCTTTAAACAGCTTGTTTCCTGCTGGCTTGCGCCACCCTGCAGCCCCCATCCCAAACACACACATACACACACATACACACACCACGGACATTATAGTAGGGTGATGCCATCTAACAGAAACCCCCTGGCTTTATTACTACAAAACTTGCAGATTAAATAAATAAACAATGAACAAAAGACGACCTTGTTTGCAGTGCGAGGTGGCCTGTCCACATTTATCTCTAATAATTGCAGCCTGTGGGGAAATTAAGGCTTTTCAGGCCCCAGGGGTTTCTTTGTTTGAGTGTATTCATGGCTCACCTATAAACGACAGATAAAGTCAGAAATTAGTCTGAAAATTTCCCAGCTGAGCTCCAAATTACACCCAAAGAAAATATGGTGGCATTTTATGAGTATCAGTCTATAACAATAAGATGGCATCTCGATCCGACTTCAATGCTTCTTGCAGGATCATGAGAGGCTGTGCAGAAACATGGAAGAGCAAACATCTCTTGCATGTGAACACGACACCTGGTTTACAGGAATGTTAAATCAGGCTGTTTGGGAGTATTTAGGTTTCACTTTGACAAGCCAGTCAGCGGCTGCTGCCTTGAGTTTACAGATTACACTTGAACTATATTTCACTCTTTGCCTAGCTGTTATTTTCTGTACTACATTTGCGATCCATAGTTGATCAGCTGTAGAGCATCAATAATCAATGTCTTTGTCACAATTCTTGAGGGCTTGGTTTTTGGTCTTCATTTTTGTGTTTTGAACATTTTATGTGGTTTATGTTGAAGTCTTGCCATACTCAGTTCATTTCCCTGTGCTCATTATTAGAATGTTTTGCCATAAGAGTTTTTCCTGTTGTATTTATGTAGTTTTTGAGTCTTGGTTCAGCTCCTCTGTCTTGGTTAGTCTCTTTCAGTCAGTTTTCCTGCTTCCATTCTGCCACAGCTGTACCACATTTCCTCTGATTAGTTCATCTGGTTCATTTGTAATAACCTTCAGTCTCACTGGTTCATTGCTGGAATCACTGCTCCACCTGTTAGCCTTTTCATTAGATGAATGCTGGTACCATTTCCTGTTCCATTGGAACTGCTTCATAAAGTTTTGTAAGTTATTTTTCATTAAACTTCTCACATTATAATGTAAAAAGCAAACGTGATTGCTTTGAAGGGAAAAAAAAAACATTGCACTTTACGTTTTCTGAACCAGCAGTTAAAAAATGAACTATTTCTACTCATCATTGGTTGACTATATTTTAGTACGCAAGCAAAAATGATTGATTTGAATTAAATATTTTGTAGACAAGGAAAAAAAGTCTTTGCTTCCTCTGGTGTGCCTTATAGAGAACGATAAATAAATACATGGAGAAAAGAAACAATGTTTTCCAGATTGTCTTAAATATTATATTTAGTAAATAAACATGATCATGCTTTATAAATGTAATATATTTATAGTAGTTTTATAAAGTTTTGCCAAAACTATTTCAGTATTTATTTTTCCATGAGCATTAGGTTTTTGACTGTGTGTTAATTTTAAAAATATAAAGAAAGTTTATGTCTGGATAACATTTAAGTCAGAGTTTGATCTCTGACTCTTAGTTCAGCCTCCTTAACTTGCACAAAGCACTAAAACTGATGTTTCTGGAATTTAAATACACCAAACTGAACAACTAAATTCATTTTAAGTACCAATTCACAACAAATATATTTTTCTATCCTTTAATAGCGGCTTCAAATACAGTTACCAACAGCGTCTCCATTCAGACCTTATTTACAACTCCAAGTGTTGTACATTCCAACAATTTTATTTATTAACAAGCTTAACATTTTATTTATTTATTTTTGTTCTATTTTAGACCAAGTGAGGGGAATTCAAGTGAGCCAGAAGCGATTTATAGGTAAATGAAAACGTTCAGATTGAAACTAAGATGAATGTTTGAAAACGGAGAAATAAGAGGCAAAATGTACAACATAGGAAAAATATCACTGTAGTTTTAGATAATACTACAGTGATGGAGAGAAAAAACTGAAATATGAGTAATGAAGTAATGATTCTTTTGACTGACCAGCATGGAGTTTATTTCATATGAGTAAATTAATCAGCAAATAAGAATAAATAACAGTATTAATTAGAGCAAAAATAGAGGGGAGATTATGATTAAATCAAAGCCAGACAGATCTAGAGGAGGTAGAAGTGATCAGATAAATGATTCTAGAATCGGCATTTATTAAGCCTTATAACTAATGAAATATGTTACATCTAACAGGATTAACACTTTAGGACTTTTGTTGTTTTTACTCTGATCCCAGATGGCGCTGCTGATTCTACCTTAACCAGCTCCACTCAATGCGCTGAAAAACTGAACCACTTCCTTCTGAATCCATGACTGTTTAGTTTCTCCAAACTGCTGCGCCACCGCACATTTCTGCGCTGATCCAAACAGCGCAGTTTTATTTACACACCAACGCAACTTGAATCTTTTCCAGCCATATGTTACAAATTTAATCTTTAAATGTGCTTCGTGAATTAGTAGCAGAAATAAATAAAAAGCAACAAAAATGGAGAGGCTGTGTGGAGAATCCGAGGCTGCAGCACAGTGACTATTCTGTGCTGCTCAGATTTGAACACTTCAAAGAAGCTTCAGCACCATGGACAGCGTTTCTCTCTCTTTCTCTGTTACACACACACACACACACACACACACACACATACACACACACACACACACACACACACACACACACACACACACACACACACACACACACACACTAGAACACTGAGCGTCTCTTCCGGGCGCTCACTCGGCAGCTGGCTCAGAATCAGCTCCTCCCTCCTGTGTGGTGGCTTTTCCGACCAAAAGCTCCTCAGACGTGAACAGTTTCGCTGAGGAGCACTTTACTCCCCCCTCAGCCCTTTCCCCCCGCTGCTCCCCCCTCCTTGGAAAAACATCCAGGCGGACAACCGAGGCGTCACTTTCTGCATAGCGACCTGAGTGAGAGGAGTTGAGGTGTCGGATAATCAGGTCTCCAGTCGTCCTTCACCCGGATCTCTGTCAGCGATGGAGACTCGGGCTGGCACCCGCCCAGATTCGCACATCTCTCTGGGTCTCTGGCTGCTGATCACCGCTCATGCCCTCCAACACGCCAGGGCGGAGATAAGTTGCGGATCTTGCCCGTCGCCTGTTCAACTTCACCGGGAGGAGCTGCAGCTGGCGCCGGGGCTGCGCTCCGACCCCGCGGAGGAGGCGGTTGAGGTCAGGGAACCCCGGGTTACCGGTCGGGAATCTGGGATGCTTGCTACTTCTGGCCCTAATTTTAGTTTGGATGAAGTTAAATCAGACGATTCCGAGTCTGGGGTGGCTGAGGATGCTGCGCTCTGGAGAGCCAAGAGGAGCGCTCCAGACTTTAGCGAGTTCAGCGACAGCGACTGGACCGGCCGGACCGCGCAGCTGGATAGCCACAAAGCCGGCCGGTCGGAATTCGGGTGGAACAGGCAAGATGGGAGAGGAAATACCCGGCAGGATGAGCCCAGGCTCAACAGCAGCACCTTCGCTCTCACTGGGGACTCTGCGCACAACCACGCCGTGGTCTACTGGACCGGACAAAACAGCAGCGTGAGTGCAGTTCTCTTCTTATCTCCCCCTGGTTGATCTGTGCGGATAAACTCCTCGCAGCGCACACTTTGTGCCGCTGTTAACAGGTGCACCTCCAGCTACAGATGCGCACTGACGCACGCTGCCAGACCTGAGCAGAATCGCGATTTGCGCGCACCAAACCTCGCAGCCACTTCTTCAACTTCTTATTTTCTTTCTTCAACAATCGACTCAGCTGCTTTTTTCGCTCGCTCTCTATCTGCGTGTGGCCTTAAAGGCGCGATTAGGTTAAATATTTTATTTTGGGTGCGGAAATATTCAGAGCAGATCTGAGATAAGCGAATACATGATTCATTCCTCCCCAGCGATGCCAGCTTTTCAATCCAAATTAAGTGACTGGGGAGTGAGGGAGTCCTGAATTATTAAAGACGTTTCAGAGAAACCCTGAAATTCCTTAATATATTTAAATCGGAATCTATTATTATTATTATTATTATTATTATTATTATTATTATTATTATTATTATTATTATTATATTTTTTCAGGGTTCCTTAAAAACGGACAAATCTGGCTTTACTTAGAATCCTCGTTTGGTTGTAAAAATCTGTTATCCTTCAGAATACAAAGATGCCAACCCCTGTTGCATTACCTCACATTTTCCAAAGGGGGTGTTTGGAGATTAAGTCCAGCTCTTATCTGCAATATTACACCGGGATTTGAGCATTATTCCATCAACTTCATGTAATCTGACATGATGCATCTGCTTCATCTTTGCCAGAATCATGAAAGAAAACAATTCATTTTCAGACTTGCAAATTGGAAGCTCTGGGTCTTTGAGTGCAGCAGAAATGAGTGTTGAGGTCAAAGAGAAGTGCAGCATTATGCCCAGCGCCACTTCACTGGCCTCAGTAATACGGAGCTCATTCAGAACCAGCCCTGCTCAGAAACCGGCTGAATACGCTGCAGCTCTTACTCCAATGCTTCTATTCCAGGAGGAGGATAATGAGCAGAAATAAACCCGAATCATTTTTACGCGGCTGTATCTGCTCAGCAGGAACCCAGGACTTCTTCTTTCAGCAGCTGTATTTGTTGTTATGGCTGCTCTTTTTACTCCATTAAAATAAGAGCAAAATGTAGCACATTCAGTCTTATCTGGGCTGATTATGGGATGGTCAGTGAACTTTTTTTTTAACCCGCAGTGAAGACTAAGGGGGCTGTGTGTGTGTGTGTGTGTGTGTGTGTGTGTGTATGTGTGTGTGTGTGTGTGTGTGTGAGGGGTTGTGAAGGGCCCCTGCCCCTAAGGTTTGAATGCTCACGGTTTATCTCTGTTTTGAAGTTTCTTTTTTCGTGGTGAAAATCAGGATAAATGAGGACAGAAGCGGAGATCGTCCCTCTGCTGCTGCTGGTGCTTCAGTTTAAAGCTGTTTAACAGTACAATGCCCTGCAGAAGTAATAATAAAGTTGTTGACATTTTGTGACATTACAACATAAAGGTCGATGTAATTTGGGGGTTGTGTAAGATGCCAACACAACGAACAGCATAATTAGTAAAGTGATATATATTTTTTTCCTCTATCAAATAAAAATCAGAAAACTGAAGCGTGACACTGCAGGTACATCTCCACACTGAAATTCCTCTTTGGCTTGATCTCAGATTGGCAGGACAGAGAACTGCTGTTACCCCTGGACTTTGATTAGGCCATTGTAGCAGATATATGCTTTAACTGCAGCACTCTGTGGAAGCTCTCATGTTTAGGGTCAATGTCCTCTTGGAAGGTGAACCTCTATACAGAAGCTGGTTAGCTACATGTGCCGAAGACCTAATTGTATAATTCCCTTCAATAAATCAAGATTGCATTAAGTGTCAAAGTAGAGATACTAGAGATGATTGGAGTAGAAATCTGGTTTATGACCCTTTTCAGCCTCTGAACAGGTTTTCCTATGCAGCTCCATTAATCTACTCATTAACTCTAACCAGCTTCATCCCATTGCTGACAGCAGGATGCTGCCACCACCTTGAGTCACAGTGAGGCCGGCATGTTCAGGTAACGATAAACCTTTAACTTTGGTTTCCTCTGACCTTAACACCGTCCAACACATTTGATTTCCCTACATGCCTTGTGTTGAACTGCGAACAGCTCGTTTGAGCAGTCTTGTTGCCTCTTTTCCATAATAGCCAGATTCTTGGTGGCGGTGCCAGCAGAGTCTCACAGTTAAGCGTTGAATCTCTGCAGCCTCCCAAACCTTACCGCCTCCATCTTGGCTGCTTCTCTGAATTGGGCTCTCGCTGCCCAGACGGTCGGTTTGAACGGACAGTCATGTCTTCGTAGGTTTTAGAACCGTCACAGAACATCTGGATTCATATTAAGAATAAATTACTCATAGATCATTTAATAATTATCCTGCAGGCAATTGCGAAAGTGAATGTCTGAATATTTACCCCCCTTCTGAGATTTTGATGTCCAAAGAAATGTTAAAAATTCAGCTTTGTTTTGCTTTTACTTTCTAATTTTGCATTATTGTGTCGAGGAATGGACTGAAGTCTGTAGTTGTGACAAAATGTAGAGCGGTTGATGAGCTATACGTACTTTTGCAGTGCGCTATAGTAAACATAAATTCCCAGCTGAGAGGCAGGACTTAATGGACGGATGGTGACCATCTTTGTTCGGTGGGTTTAACCTTTCCTGTCAGCTTGATCTGAAGGAGAGGAAACGCCACAGGCTGTTTGGTCGGACCAAACCTCCTCAGGTGCCATTTGCTCCAGATGGAAGCAGCTGTTCCACAGCATGCCCTTGTCTTTCACTTCATGCTGTACATTCATTGTGAAATGTGACATTCTTTTTAATTTCTAAGGTATTACTTGTCAAGACAGACTGAAAGAATCTTATTTTTACCAAGTCTTAAAATGAGGTTAATCCAACAGGAATAAACAAGTCATCATCACATCTGCAGAAACCTGTAAAGAATCCAAGTCCTTGTCTTCATGTTCGATATCATCCAGGCTCTGCAGCACACACTTTCACTGGACACCATCAGCGGTTTGCTGCTGTGGAACTTATAAGACCATGTTAAGATGGAAAGACATTAGCATTTACCTTAAAGAAGCAATGTCCAGTTGTGGTTCTGAAAATCAAGGATCTGCAGTGGCCCAGTCAAAGTTCAGACATCAAACTAATTGCAAATGCTGAAAGAAACCTGTGTAATTGCTTAATTTTTATTCCTGGGTCAACTCATCTTTATCATTGTTTGAACCATAAAACATTAAAATGTAAAATTCCTAAAAGCTGATTGATTTTATCAGTAACAGATGTGGTGTTACTGAAACGCTTCCTGATTATTCAGCCATAAGCATCCAAATAAAAAAAGGTGATGTTGGCAACTTAGGTCCCTTAATCGTTGGGCTGCAGGTTGGTTCAAGCCCCCACTCCTTCTTTCTCTGACTTTGTGTCCTTGGGCCACCACTTCGACCAGGTGGGCGGTCAGAGGGCCCAGGGCCGCCGGAGCACGGCGGTCAGAGGGCCCAGTGCCGCCGGAGCACGGCGGTCAGAGGGCCCAGTGCCGCCGGAGCACGGCGGTCAGAGGGCCAAAGGGCCGCCGGAGCACGGCGGTCAGAGGGCCCAGGGCCGCCGGAGCACGGCGGTCAGACAGCCACAGGGCAGCTGTGGCCACAATGTGTGAAATAATGAATGTCTTCTGAAACACATTGAAGTCCTCTGGACCTAATAACATGCTACACAAGTTTACCATATGATTAATATTTAAATGGCTTTATATTCTGAAATACTGAAATGTAAAACATGTAGAAAAAAGGAAATCAGGTATGGAGCAAACAAACTGCTGGACATAGAAGGTTCCTGGTTTTATTCCTGACCAAGTTCTGACTTTGACTTTGTCTCAACCAGGTCTTTAACTCGACGGTCACCATTACAGGCATCTGACTTGGTGGACAGTTGGGGTTCTTGGTTAGCTTGTGGTGGTTGTGTGTCAGATGACATGCTCATGGATTAATTTCTAATAAATGTTTTGAACATCGTGTCTGATCAAATCACATGAAATGCTTCCTTTGCCAGTTTCAGAGTTTGGTATTAGCTTTTCAATTTTTAATTTTAAAGCATCCAAATCTTAGTCTAGTAGTTCTTCTTGGCATGGCCACCCTGTAACAGGACCAGAGCATTTCTATTATTAAAACACAACTTTGCTGCCATTTTTAGAAAGCCACAGAGTGGGCCACATGGTGCTTTGTGCACCACTTTCTCAAAAATAGCTGCTGGCCTGCAGAGTTTTCTCTTTGTTCTATTGTAACACAAAAACAATAACAGGGGATCAAACTTATCATCCACAAGTGCAACTCAATTGAAAAGTGGATTTATTTCAGTAATTCAATTCAAGAAGCCATTACTGCAAGAGCAACATAAAAGGCCAAAATGCAGTTTTCAGATGCACTCAGAGACAAAGATTGAAATGTTTGGAGACATGTCCTGTTATCTAAAACTGAAGCGTATGGCCATCATTGTATTTGAATGAAAAAAGTTAACAAGCCTGGGAACCATGTGCCAACTGTGAAGAGGGATATCATGTTGTGGGCGTCTTGCTGCAGGAGGGACGGTAGCACTGCACATGAGGAAAGGGCATTATGCGAAACCACTGAGGTCAAAGACAATGGAAGCTAAAGCTTGGGACTAAATGAACAATGACCCCACCAATACGACATATTGACTCCAAAATATTTATTTTCTATTTCTATTTTTTTTCTTGTTATTCAGCATATCTAAAATACCAGACAAAAAATCATGTGGCACAATGCTGCTTGTCACACTGGAGGCTGGCATTTGCATTTGCATGCTAATACACACACACACACACACACACACACACACGGAGCACAAGCGTAAAGCTAAGGTTGAAGGAAACGACTCGTTAGGGAACGCCCTCTTTAGGGCGGATAGCATAGAGGCCAACAAAGGGAACTACAAGCTGCTGCTTGATGCCATTTTGCTCTGTTAGCCCATAATGATAGCAT